TGGCCTCTTGTTGTTAGAGCCGGGGGGGGGGGGAGAGAATGCCAGAAGAAAACATTGCTTAAAATCTTTATTTAGCTCAGTGCTGGCTGGTGTCTCTACTCTGGATGCAGAAGGTCCCAGGTTCAATTCCTGGCATCTCCAGTTAAAAGGATTGGATAATTGGCAATGTGAAGAACTGCCTGAGACACTCTGGCTGATTCTGCATTGGCTTTTCCCTCCGTCGTTGTACGAAACCCACGTCAACAGAAATTCCCCTCTGCATTGCGTGCTGCTTGCACTTCCTTTGATCATTCGATTTTATGGCAGCCTCCCCACTCCATGCCACTTTCGCTTTCTTTGATTATCGGATTTTATTGTACCCTCTACATAGATTTTATGGCCGTTCAGGGGTGACTTTGCAGTCGGTACAGCATTGCCCTGAGGTATTTGAATGTGGTTTTGAGCTGCACTTTCCCCTCCCAGTTGAGAAAATGTGGAGTGAATGCTAGATGCAGAATTGCCCACTGACAGTCAGAACAGACAATACAGATTTTGGTAGAACGAGAGTCAAACACAACATAAGGCAGTTTCATCTGTATCGGCACAAATTTCCTTAGGAAATACAGCACAAGTGTATTCTGGTGAATGTCTGCATGGGAGCAGGACTTGATCACTTCTCCTGAGAAACTCATGAGTTTCCAAAGCACACATTCTGCCAGGGCTCTTTTTGTAGAAAAAGCCCAGCAGGAACTCATTAGCATAATAGGCCACACCCAACACCAGAAACCCATTAGCATATTAGGCCACACCCCTGACAGCACAGCTCATTAGCACATTAGGCCGCAGTCCCGTGTTGCCAGAAGTGTGGTCATCCGGCCACACCCACCTTTTGCTTGTTATTCTGTTTACCTTGTTTGTTGTCAAAACCCAGGGCCTTTTTTTGTAGCAGGAACTCCTTTGCATGTTAGGCCACACACCCCTAATGTAGCCAATCCTAATGCGTTTTTGCTGTTGGGTGTGGCCTATTATGCTAATGCGTTCCTGATGGGCGTGGCCAACTCAGGAGCCAGCCGGAACTCCGTTCCTGTGCGTTCCTACCCAAAAATACCCCTGCTGCTTACTAAACTGTGAAACTCCCAGCAGTGGCAGATTTCTCAATTACAGACCATGTTTGCTTTTGATTAAGGAATTAATCTCACACTCTCTAGAAGCTTTATCTCAGTTTGGGGGGGGGGGACATACAAAAGTTAAGCCAAAACTGCAGTGACTCTTCTAGGATAAAGTCCCCAACAAAATTTCAGTCGGGGGCAATTATACAATCTTCAGGACGAAGGAAATCGTGGAACTCGATTTATAACTCATGGTATAATTAATTTGAAGATTGGAAGGGAGAGGCAAATGGCACATCAGAGCAAGACTTCTCAAGTAGGGCATTTTGTAGTACTTAAAAATCACGGAAAGGGTCAATTAAGAACTAAAATGATATAAAGGACCATGAGGAAAACTATATATAAAAGAAGATAGCTTTGGCTGTTGTAGAAAATGACTGCAAACTTGGCGATGTGTAGAGACTCTTCCAAAACTGCAACGGCAAAAGATTTATGAACTGAGAATCCGGGGAAAGATTAATAATTAAATTTCACACTTTCTGCTGGGCTCTTTGAGAGAAGTTCTGTACAAATTGGTTTCTTGGTGGCATATTCACACCTGCAAAACTCGACAGACCTCAACACAACCAATGTGTTTACACGCTGAGCAAAAACACAGCCCCACTGGAATCAGAGCGACGCTCATCTTGTCCCACATGCTGTTTCCTACAAGAGCCTCTGGGAAGCCCTAGAAGTAGATCATTAAGGGCAAAGACCCTGTGGGTCTCCTTAGGAACTCACACACAGAGGTATGCTGTATCAGAAAAAAGTGCAGGGTATGGATATAGGATTCAGTTTCCTGAGAATCTCAGTTTTCGTTTTTTAAAAATACGTCTGCAAACACACACACATACACACACACACACTTGGTATTATGTGACCAATGAAAATTTCAGGCTGGTAGAGTTGCTGAATAAGACATCCTGAATAAGATATCAGAGGGTACAATCTCAGTACAGTACAGTCCCAGTGTTCCTTTCTTTCCCACTAACTAGTGGAAGAAGAATAAAGTTTGCAAAACCATGCAAAATTTGCTTAATGTATTCAGGTTGCAGAATTCAGAATTTCTTGCTGCTAAACTGGCTTCCTTTTCTTTCTGCACATACATCCCTGAGTATCGCATGCATGACCAAGTCTTCAGTCCTTCTTACTCCCCATTGCTTTGACTCCAATCACACACAGGACAGAATAGAGTCACAAACTTGAATCAGTATATTAGTCAACAAAGGCTGCATCGCTATACACATGTACAGAAGGGTAAGTCTCACTGAAGTCACTGGACATACATCCAAGTAAATGGGCACAAGACTGGGCTACATAACTTTAGATGACTGGTGGTGGAAAGTGGCTTCAAGTTGCAGCTGACATATGGCAACCCTGCAAGATTTAAAGCAGATGGTAACAGCTAAGAGCTAGGAGCTGCGGTGGCTCAAGTGGTTAAGATGCTGAACTGCGGGCTGTGGAAGGTCAGTACTTCAGCAGTTCGAGACCCGAGTGTGCCGCATGACGGAGTGAGCTCCCATCTCTAGTTCCAGCTCCTGCCAACCTAGCTGTTCGAAAGCAAGAAATTGCAAGTAGATAAATAGGTACCACTTCGGTGGGAAGGGAACAGCGTTCCGTGTGCCTTGGTGTTTAGTCATGCCGGCCACATGACCACGGAAATGTCTTCGGACAGCGCTGGCTCTTCGGCTTTGAAACGGAGATGAGCACCGCACCCCTAGAGTCGGACTCGACTGGCTTTCGAGCAAGGGAACCTTTACCTTTTTACCTAACAGCTAAGAAGTACTTCAAAAAAGGATCCCAATAAAGGAAAACTGTATCTCCGGAATATTCAACCGTTTCAAAAGTTATCTTCTTCTGAACAGATGAAGGAAAATGACGAACATGTAACGTCTCTGGTCAGTTTTTCAACTGCTACATTCCAAGAAATTCATTACTTTCTCCGATATATCAAAACATTATTGAGAGGAAGTTCCTGATGATTCTACACAGGGCAAAATGCATCTTACAGCATTTTGAACATTCCGGAGATCATCGTTAACAACCTATAACAATAATTAATAACTGTTGAATACCTTTATATATTTTGTACTTATGTATTTTGTACTTCATGAATAATTTTTGTATTCTGTTCACTTTAATATTTAAACATTAATTGAGTGCCGTCAGGATACAGTTTTCCTTTATTGGGATCCTTTTTTTGAAGTAACCCTGCAAGGTTGTCAAAGCAAGAGACTTTTAGAGGTAGTTTGCCATTGCCTGCTTCTGCGTAGCAAATTTGGTATTCCTTTTTTTTTTTTTAATATTTTAATTAAACTTTTTCAAAAATTAACAATTAAAAATAACATGTAGGATGATTAAGTCATGTAGTGTAGTGGTTAAGTGCGCAGACTCTAATCTGGGAGAACCGGGTTTGATTCCCCACTCCTCCACTTGCACCTGCTGGATGACCTTAGGCAAGCCATAGTTCTGGCACAGCTGTTCTTGAAAAAGAGCAGTTTCTGTCAGAGCTCTCTCACACCACCTACCTCACAGGGGAGGAGAAGGGAAAGGAGTTTGTAAGCTGCTCTGAGACTCCTTTGGGTAGTGAAAGGTTGGGTATAAATCCAATATCTTCTTCTTCATCATCATCGGTAAAATACAACTTCAGAAATTTGTTAAACCAGGAAGAGTGACCATTCGAAGCCATATATAAAGATCAGCAAAAATAAATGCAGGCTGCAGTCACATGGAGCATTAGCCACTCTACAGAGACGGAAGATAGGCGGATTTTCTGGGCGCGATCACAGCGCCACATCTGGGAAGCGTAGAGCTCCCGTGGCTCACCCGAGGCTTCCCGCCGAAGATGCGGGGTAAAAAACTAGTACCTCCAAGGTACTGGTTTCCGGAAACCGCGGGGCAAGGGCGGGCATCTGATCGTGTTTCTGGAGGTAGGTTGTGGCATCCAGAGCCCGCCCATGTCCCAAGGCGAAAAGGTTTTTTTTTCCAAGTCTCCACAGGATGCGCACAAGCACCCAACGGCGCATGCGCACACTTTGGTTTTTTTAAAAACCCCAAACCCCGTTTGCCATGGCAGCGGCGCCTCTGTGATCGCGCCATGCCGCTTCTTTGCCGCGCCACAGGATTGGGGTATGATTGGCACCTCCCCCCGAACCACGAGACGTCGGCAGGACGTATGATCCGCCGGCCACACGGTAGTTCGCTCCGGGGCAAACAGCCACGCCTCCCCACCATGATATCCGGCCCGTGTGACCGGGGCCACAATTAGCTATTCAGTTTTAAGTTTCAAGATCGACCAATGATTGTAAGATTTCAAAAATAAGGAAGCTCTGTCATGTAGAAGAGGCCACAACAGTTAGGTAAGCCATATTGTCCATTAGAAGTGAATCCATTAATTATAAGAAGGATTAGAAGGTAGCAGGTCTCGTTCTGCCATAAATGTAAGTACTCTAGTCCAAGTTGATACAAAGCAAGACATTCCTTGGTGGCCTGCCATCCAAATACTAACTAGGGTCAACCCTGCTTAGCTTCTGAGATCTGATTAGATCAGGCTAGCCTGGGCCATCCAGTTCAGGGTGAGACAGGAGTCCAGTGGCACCTTGGTGGTGGAAAATGCCATCAAGCAGCCAATTTATGGCAACCCTGTAGTGTTTTCAAGGCAAGAAACATTCAGAGATGGTTTGCTACTGCCTGCCTCTGTGTCATGACCCTGGAGTTCCTTGGTGGTCTCCCATCCAAATCCTAACCAGGGCCGATCCTGCTTAGCTTCCAAGAGCTGGCGAGACTAGGCTAGCCTGGGCCATCCAGGTCAGGCCCTAGTTGACTAATTAAGGTCAAATCTTAACTGGTGACACTGCAACAAGAAGAGCAAACTTTAATTTTCAAGGCTATTTGGGGTCCATCAGAGAGAATGACAATGGAGGTGTTAAAGACAACCGTTTCTTCCAACCATGAGTGGTATCTTACCTTTATTAAATTCTAAATTATTTCACACTTGCTTAAACAGAAACCTGGTAGAGGAGAACTGTTGCCAGTGAGCCAGTTGTGAATCGTGCACAGATTTATGCAGTGCGCTGACACAATCTTGCAGGGTACTCCTATATGCATTTATGACCTATTGTGAGAACTCAGGAGTGTGCCACTGCCTGATAATGGACTCACAATAGCCAGTGTTTGGGCTGCAGAACCTTTTACAGATAATTAATCAACGTGTCAATGATCAGTTAAATCCATGTTAAACTCAGTTAAATTAATATTCAGTTCCATAGTTTCAGTCATGCAAATGGTCCTCTTTCATACTGCCTCATTGTTGATCTCCTTAACTGTAAAAGGTTGCATACCCCTGGGTCAGGACATCCTCTGACAGTAAGCACTCTGGAACAGTCCCAAGGCCCCAAAGAAAACATGTTTCCAAGAGAAATACTGAAAGGGCAGCAAATTATTCACAGCAGGTTTCATGAGCTAACCCCCATAAGATACCACAAGAGATTGCATTACAAGAGAGTTCCCTGTTGGACAAAGCCCTCTTTTACAATTCTGTTTCCGTTTTTCTTACCGAATCGGTGTTGCGTTGTCATGCCGGACAATTCCACTGCTTTCCTCCTGATGGTAATCTCTGTAATAACTCTGATTCCAATAATCTGTATATTCACCATACATATTTCTCTGCCTTGGATCTACATACTCAGAGGAAACATAAAGCAGAAGATCTACCTGTGGCCATCTATAGAATTTTAAAAAGTTACAATGCTAAGTTATGAGACTCAAATCTATCTTTTATTCTCCTGTGAATTGTGTTTGTGGCCAGACTAGACCAAGAGGCAACAGCTGCATTTGATGTTTATGAGTCTAACATGATCAAGTGAAAAGTGGGGGAGGGGTCTAGAGTGACACTATAGTGACCCCTCCCCAAAGTCTATTCTCCCCAAGTTACCACCAGTGTTCCCCCTAAACTGAGTTAGTGTGAGCTAGCTCACAGTTTTTTCGCCTCCGGCTCACACATTTTTTGTCTTAGCTCAGGAAGGATGGCTCCAGAGCAAACTAACTTATGCAGTAGCCAAATCACTCGCTTACAACTTTCATGCCAATAGCTCACAAAGTAGAATTTTTGCTTACAAGACTCCATAGCTTAGAGGGAGTATTGGTTACCATCCCCCAAATCGCCAGGCATTTCTCAGACTGGAGTTGGCAACCCCAAGCTCCAGTATTGGACGTTGGAGGTCTGGCTGTCCTAAGGTGGTCCGGCTATCCTCGACTAGGCCCAGGGCCTTTTCGGTCCTGGCCCCGTCCTGGTGGAAGTCTCTGTCAAATGACATCAGAGCCCTGCAAGATCTGATGCAATTCCACAGGGCCTGTAAGTCAGAGATGTCCCACCAGGCTTTTAGTTGAGGACAGCAATGGGAAGTTAAGGCTGGCAGCATCCTTTTTCTTCCTATGGCCCCCACATACTTTCCCCCGCCCTGCTGTGCGGGACAGCGGTGTGGCTGGTAAAGGGGGGACTATTATATTGCTATCTAGATTGGTCTTAAATTATTATATATACTAATTATATTTTAAATGTTTTTTTCAATGGCTGTAAATCACCCAGAGCCTGCTTGCAGGGTGGGCAATTCATACATTTAATGAAATAAATAAATGAGTTATCAGCCATGACTATTTCGGCCAACAGAGACAAGTAAACACATGTGGGAGTTCTTGCAATTACTCCCCTTTGAAGGATGCTGGGTATGAGAGGTCACCACGGCCTGAGGTGACAGGGAAGCCCTGGTAGCCGTGCTCCAGTCCCCCCCACCTTGAATTTTCTTAGTGCTTGTGACACCATCACGAAACAAAATACAACAGGAAGAGGATGAAGCTGGAGTTCCTCTTGACAAGGATTCTGGACATAAACTGATGAGGTTTCAAAACTGACAACCTGGCAGCACCTTGGGGTTGCCGAACTCCAGGTGGGGCCTGGAGATCTCCTGGAATTACAGCTGATCTCCAGACTACAGGGTTCAGTCACCCTGGAGGAAATGGCTCCTTTGGAAGGTGGACTCAGTGGCATTGTACTCCATTGAGGTCCCTCCCACTCCAAACGCCACCCACTCCAGGTAGGGCTGCCAAGTCCCCCCGGGGGGCGGATTTCCCCCCGCTTTGGAGGCCCGATTTCCGCCACTGCGGAATCGGGCCCCGGGGGAAACCCCACCCCGGCATGCACATCATCTGGATGTGACGTGCTGACGCCGGGCACGTGGGGGCGGGGCCACAGCCATCTGAGGGGAAAACTCTATGTTTTCCCCTCAGATGGCTGTGGCCCCGCCCCCAGCGGGCCCGGTGTCAGCACGTCACATCTGGATGACGTGCATGCGGCATGCGCAACACCGGCCGGGAGCCCCCCGCCGCCAAGAAAAACGCACTTGGCAACCCTAACTCCAGGGTTCAGCTTCAGATTTCCAAGAATTTCCCAAGCCTGTTTTTGGCAACCCTATGAGTGCCTCCTGACAGTGAAGTTGCACAGTTGCAATGCGAACCATGTGTCTGATTTCACAAAGCACACAAATGTTTACATTTTGCAAGTTCACAGGCCACTGCTTTCTCTGACTAAAGAGGGCAGTTCAACATGAGAAGACAAAAAAATAAATAAACTTGGCAGAACTCTCCGTTCCTTCACAAGTACAAAAAAATCTAATTTAGACTGGGATGGGGATAACTTTCAATGTTTTCTAGATGCATACATAAACGTACACCTATTATCTGAAATCACCTACATGCCCCCATCAAGCCATATACAACAATCATCTTGTAAACTGGTTTTGTTTCTACGGAGACAGTAGTACCTGTGTCACTCTGCAGCATTTGGGGGTATCTTTGATAACCTCCGTAGGAATAATCTTCCACAGGGTTCCAATACAGATCTTCATAACCTTGCCTGAAATGTAACCCAGAAACGGGTAAGCAGAAAGGAGAGTAGAGGAATCTGCTATAAATTGGAAAGTATTTAAATGTTTTTGACATGGGAGGATACAGAATGGAAGTTGACAGCGTCAGAAACAATTCCAGAAATCAAAAGGGTTTGGCAGAAAATTGATATGCAGAGACTATAATTAGGTTTTGGTCACTATAATGACCCTTTCCCCAACTCTGTATCTAATAATTAAAATTACACTACTAGATATTAGGTTTGCCAGCTCTGGGTTGGAGATAATGGGAGATTTTGGGGGTGGAGCCCGAGAAAGGTGGGGTTGTGGGAGGGGAGGGACTTCAGTGGCATAAAGTGCCATAGAGTCCCCCTTCCAAATCGGCCATTTTCTCCAGGTGAACTGATCTCTGTAGCCTGGAGATCAGTTCTAATCCCAGAAAATCTCCACCCATCACCTGGAGGCTGGCAGGTGGCAACCCTAGGGGTAATTAATTTTTATCCAAGGTGCTTTTGCCTTCTAAACATTGCCTCCTATAAACTGCTTTCCTCCCCAACAGGAACGAAAAAAATAACTCATGAGAAAGCAGTTACAAAATTAGGACCCATGAGAAAGCAGCCACAAATCGGGATATCTGACTGGGAAACAGCCAAAAGGGAAACAGTTACACACCCCATTCTTCACTAGATTCAGCCCCTCTTGTCATTAGGGTTGCCAAGTTGAAATTTCTCCTTACCGGGGGACTCCCGCGCCGCGGTTGGAGCGCGCGCGCACGTCACCCGGAAGTGACGGGACGACGCCGGGCACACTGGGGCAGGGCCATGACCATCCGAGGGAAAACCATAGAATTTTCCCTCAGATGACCATGGCCCCGCCCTCAGCGTGCCCGGCATGGTCGCGTCACTTCCAGATGATGCGCACGTCGAGGTGGGGTTTCCCCCGGGGCCCGATCCGCCGGCACCGGGGAACAGGCCTCTGGGGCGGGGGTTTCCACGCCCCCCGGGGGGACTTGGGAAGCCTACTTGTCATATGCTATGATCCTGATCTGAAACAGACCCTGTGAGCCTGAATTCCTGTAGGGAACTAGCGGTATACATCTAATACAAAGCAGTTGTGGTGGGTGTGGACCTCACACGATTACTATGTAATCAGAACCATGAAGCTCTCTTGGTGACTTTGGGTCAGTTTTCCTTTCTCAGCTTAATCTGCTTCCCATATTGTCCTTCCAAGAATGCTGCAGCCAATACTCCCTTTGTTGCCTTAATGTCCTTGAAAGAAGTGTGGGATACAGACATGATAACTGATATAAGAATGCTTCTGGGCCTCTGTATGAGAGAGGGAATGGCCAGAGAGATATATGTGGGAGACAAGCCCTGTTCTTTTTCCATACTTCTTACAGTTTTACCTTGAGTACGGCCTGTTCAGATAACTGTTCTCATAATACTCTGCCCTGGAGTTTGGTCTCACATAGTCCTGGAGCTGTGGGTGGTACGTTGGGTGGTAGTACTCCGTTCTGGCTTCTGACCAAGGTGGAGGCCCTGCCCGGGGATCTTGGTACTGATGGTAGAACCTCTCATTGTTGGGCCTGGAACGAGGAGGAGGTCCATGGGAGACTTCCCTCCACGGGCTCCTGCCCTGGCCGTCCTTCTGGGTTATACTTCTTCCCTGTGGTTGAGGATGCTGTGGTGGAACCCTAGAATCCATCTGGGGTTGACAGCTTCTGCTACCTGCAAATGAAACAGTAGTCACAAGTCAGGTGATACAAAACCATCTTTGAAACCAGGCACATATTTTCCCCAAGATATCTAACCTTCACGGCTGGGGAGCTGTGCTTTGAAGCATGAAAGCAGCATCTATAGATGGAACATCTATATAAAGGGATGGCAGAGATGGAAGCCCTTTTTCTGTCTCACATGCCTAGCTTGCACATTTATTTTAAATAGAAAGGAAGGATATTTTAAAATAAACACTTGTCTCTTCTTTATGAATAATAAGGGTTGTTAGGGCCAATGAGGACTAGAGATGTAGAAGATTGTTTTGTTTATACAAGCTGAGCATGCGGCAAGCTAGCGGGCACCCTGACAGGCATCGCTAGTTGCAAAGCTTTCCCTTATTTCTGGGCCATCTTCAAATTGCCCAAACCAAACCATTTGTTTTTGCTGGGCCAGTGGCATAATATATTCCAGGATCTTTAGATTATTACACAATTCCAGATGGGTAAAAGGTAAAGGTAAAGGTTCCCTTGCTCGAAAGCCAGTCGAATCCGACTCTAGGGTTGCGGTGCTCATCTCCATTTCAAAGCCGAAGAGCCAGCGCTGTCCGAAGACATTTCCGTGGTCATGTGGCCGGCATGACTAAACACCAAGGCACACAGAATGCTGTTACCTTCCCACTGAAGTGGTACCTATTTATCTACTTGCAATTTCTTGCTTTCGAACTGCTAGGTTGGCAGGAGCTGGAACTAGAGACGGGAGCTCACTCCGTCATGCGGCACACTCGGGTCTTGAACTGCTGAGCTACTGACCTTCCACAGCCCGCAGTTCAGCGTCTTAACCACTTGAGCCACCGCAGCCCCATACAGATGGGTAGCCATGTTAATCTATAGCAGGGGGGGCGGAAATGTAGGACCTCAGTGTTCCTTTAAAGAATAACAACATTTATTCCTGACTGAAGCAGGATCTGAGCTGAAGACAGCTGCTGGCTCACAGTTTAGTGTCTTAACTTACTACACTGTCCCCTACAGCCTGTTGTCTGTTGCTCACTCTCAGGTGCCATGCTGTACCGGGGGGGGGGGGGGACGGGACATTTCATAGAACAAGGAAAGACAGACAGACAGACAGACAGACAGACATTCCCCTGCCACATGATGTTCCCAATTTTCCACTGGCTGAGACCTCTTCTACTGTACCTCACCTCTCACCCAGATGTTCCACATTCTTTACAGATTCAAATATTAACTTGCAAATGAATATATTGAAGCTAAAACAATTGCTACAAAATATACAGATCTACAAACATTTATTTCTTTGCTTTATTTTGGACGTGAAGTCATGGGCATGGAACTTTGATGTGCTGGTAGAGTATGAAATTTTTTGACCATAACAGATTCCATCATTTGCACCAGTATTACTCATAATAGTGATTATTAATATTATTATTATGACAGAGCACTTCTCCTAGGAGCTCAGACAACTTCATATCTTGATCTTAATGCCTTACAACAGCCTTGTAAGGCGGGCTAGGACTACTGGATGAAGGAGACAGAGTGAAGCAGGAGCTGAGCAAAAGACTTAGTGGCTTACAGTTTGACCCCTTAACTTACTTCAGCACTATATTCCAGACATAGCTGCAAAGATCTCCTAAAGGGCATGTTTTAAAAATTCACCAGTTTTGCAAGAATTTTAATCATAGGAGATCTTTCTACCCATCAGTCCACTATTTAAAGAAGGCACACCTACATCCCCTTAACTTCACCAAACTAGCTGTGAACGAACACTGACAGATATTATGGATTCAGAACCTGCCTCCAAAATTTTACCATATGTGTTTGTTTCAGTCAGTTCAAACAGCAGGTTTCAAATCAAAACCTCCAATGCTCCAAGATTAATCCAGAAGAAGTTGGGTAAGCAACAATATCCCCATCGGCACACACACACACCTGTTGAAATGAGACCACTTGCTTCAGCTCTTTCAGCCCAGCCGCCGTTCTACCTGTCCCCAAAGGCAGCTGTCAAAGTCCACCTGCCACATCAGTTGCTGCCCAGCTAAGAATCAGCATATTCTAGGTCAACGCTCCCTGCTTTTCCCCGTGCCAAAGTCCCAGGCTAATCTATAGCACTAACAGAGTTGGGCAAAGGGCAATTTGCCTGTCTGCTTGAGGAAAAAGAAAAAGAAGAGATTGGATTTATACCCTGCCCTTCATTACCCGAAGGAGTCTCAGAGTGGCTTACAATCCCTTTCCCTTCCCCTCCCCACAACAGACACCATGTGAGGTAGGTGGGGTCAAGAGAACTTGCCCGAGAACTGCCCTTGAAAGAACCGTTCTGAAAGAACTTATGACTGACCCAAGGTCATACCAGCAGCTGCATGTTGAAGACTCGGAAATCAAATCCAGTTCTCCCAGATTAGAGTCTGCGCTCCTAACTGCTACACCAAACTGACTGCACTAAGCACTACCCCAAACCCCTTTGGCTGCTCGCAGGCAAGAGAGTGAACCCTTGACTAAAATTAAATTTAAAAAAAATCTCCTGAACAGTCAAAGATTGTTAAGATACAGGCAGCCTGGGACACAGTGGATTTAAAAACCCCAGTAACATGGGAGAAAGCTGAGCTGAGCTGAGCTGAGAATGGAAACCACTTTTCCAGCACTCTCTTTGCAACCATTTAGATTTATACAGTGCAATTCTAAGAAGAATGATCCCTTTCTAAATCCATTGATTTCAATGGATTTCAAAGTGTGTAACTGTTTAGGACTGCACAGTAAGGGTCTTGCTCAGAGCAAGAAAACAATAGGTTCCGGGTGGAACGAACAAAGTACTTCTTTACTCAATGAGTGATTAAAATATGGGATTTGTGTTATGTACGCAGACCGCCACCAGGGGTCCGCGGCAAAGACTGGAGCTTGGCTCCCCTGGACAATAGGAGCATAGGATCCTAGTTCCCCCCAGCCCCGACCAATAGCCACTTTGGCGGGAAATTCAAACCCTCCAATGGACTAGGGCTGTGCTGGGTGGGAGTGTATATAGTTGGCCTTGCAGGGCCGTTTTAGTTAGTCTTGTGTTAAGTACAATAAACGTGTGCAACTCATGTCATCGTCCAAGTCCTCCATGCGGCGAACCCAGTACTTTTCAATTTCTTTCCAGAGAATGTAGTGATGGCCACAAGCATAGATTGCTTTAAAAGGGACTTAGATAAATTCATAGATAGGTTCATCAACAGTGCCTAGCTGTGGTGATTAAAGGGAACCTCCATATTCACAGGCAGCAAACCTCTGGATATCAGTGCTAGGAGCCAACATCAGGTGATGGTCTTGGCCACTGTGCCCTGCTGTTGGCAGTCCAGAGTAACTGGTTTGCCATGGTGCGAAACAGGAGGCTAGACTAGAAGGGGTCCCCAATGACCAGCATTCCCTCTCAGCTGAGTTAGTGTGAGCTAGCTCATCGTTTTTTAGCCTCCGGCTCACACATTTCTGTCTTAGCTCAGGAAGGATGCCTCCAGAGCAAACTAATCGATGCAGTAGCCAAATTGCTCGCTCACAACTTTAATGCCAGTAGCTCATAAAGTAGAATTTTTGCTCACAGACTCCACAGCTTAGAGGGAGCGTTGTCCGTGACCCGCCCTCACCTTTTCTGGTACCCACCAAGTGTTTTTAGGAAGGAGGTGGGGCCAGATAGGGCTTTTCCCCAGCAAGGCTTCTGATTGACTGCTGGAGATTTGATTGGCTGAGCATATTTTTAAAATTGTTGTTTTAGCGGCAGCTGCCACCACAGCACAGGGATCTTCGCTGTGGTACTTAAATTACTGAATTTAAGCTGTTACCCATAATCATTTTGTAGCTGGCTCTGCCTCCTGCAGCTGCCATCTTGTGGCAGCCATTTTGTTGCTCCACCCACCATGATGAGTCGGAATTCCGAACCTGCCTGCAGGCTCAAACAGGTTGAGGACCCCTGCTCTAACCTTTTCCCCTTGCATGTTGTCTGCCTAGAGGTACTAGCAGGGAAACAATATGGGATTTACATCAACAAAACATTGTTAGCCTCACCTTCCATGCACCAGAGCCCCAATCCAAATCAAACTATAACATTTAAAAAACTGCAAGAAATCCACTCACAGATATTCCACCACTATGCCTCAATCAGCACAGACACAGAAAAAATCCTGCTCCTCATGCTATTTGTTAAGAAGCTCCAAGAACATTATTATTATTATTATTATTATTATTTTAAATATACATCTCACACATTATACACACATGGCTATCAGATTATCAAATTATAGAGATCCAGCAAAAGATTAAAAATTAAGCTCACAAGAAGCTCTCCTTTCTAATCTAGAAACTGGAAACTCTTCTAAAGCCACACACAGTGGTTCATAGGAGTTGGATTTGCTACAGGATAGAATTTGTCATCCCGACCCAGTGTAGTATCCAGTTTTTATCTTTGTCCATTTTAACTGATTTGATTATTTTAACAACTGGTTTTTTAAATTGTTTCTGATAACATCTCTTCTGTATTTAATCATCCACCAATCACAAGACAGCCTGAGTTGCAGTTTTCAAGCAAAACATCACCTCATTTCAGCGAGGTTCAGCTGCTTGGGATATAACTGAAACAAAATGCAAATCACCCTATTAAATGATGTTAACACATAAATAAAAGGAGCAAGAATATTGTTAAAACGAAGGCATTTCCCTCACAGGAACCGTCAAGTTCTCCACTCATTTATGTTCTTTTTTAAAAGTTTTCTCTTGCACATTTTTGCTACCCTTCTTCCAAAGCAAACTTTGCAAACTTGAAAATGTGCTGCCTTTGTTCTCTCGTTTAATAAATATATACTCTCTTTTTCTATTAATGCCAAGAAAGGAGT